CGATTTTTCCACCGCACGAACACTCTGCAAAAATTTCGAGCAGGGCGGGCGCTTCTTTTTTTTTCTTCTGGCGCCAGAAGCAGAGTGAGTGGCTCAAACTGAACTGAACCCTGACAGCCCGCCCAAAGCCGTCCTACACCACCAAACCCAGCTCGACTTCACTCTTCCACTCACAACTGTGCACGAGTGGCTCTCCATCTCCCATACCGCACAGCAATGGCGAGACCTTCCGCGTCCACGTCGGCCGCCGCGGCGAGCAACGGAGCAGCCAAGAGGAAGCGCAACGTTCCCGCTCCTGCCGCCAAGCCATCTTCCACCAACACCACAAAGACGCCCGCGACAGCAAAGGGCAAGTCAAAAGCGCAGGAGCTCCACCTCGGCGAATCTGACGACCAAGACGCTGCTAAGCTCGATCTCGAATCCGACGACGACGACCTTCAGGCTGGCGATGCTTCCGGCGATGAGAGCCAGGACGGCGACGAGTTCCCCGAGATCGACCTCGAGGAAAGCGAGGGCGAGGCGGACTCGGACGCAGAAGCAGAGCAGCCCGAGCAGGACGATGATGCCGATGACGAGTCCATAGACCTCCAAGATAGCCAAGCTGATGATGAGTCCGAACAAGGCTACAACTCCTCGGACATCGACAACTCAGACTTTGAAGGTGACGAGCCAGAGGACGATCTGGAGTACGATTCGGCGGAAGAGGACGACCGCGCCTCTGCCTTTGCCGCACGCAGCGACGCTTCGCAGACCAGCATCGACGAGGAGCTCTCGCGCATGGTGTCTCGCTACGCGTCCAAGCCCGACGAGGAGTCGGGCTCGCTCTCAGCCACCAACAAACTCGGCATCCCGCGCAACCAGGCCGCCCAGGCCTTCGACCTTCGCACCCGCAACCCGGACGGCTCCGCCAAAGGCGTCTTCAAGCGCAGCGACATCACGGGCGAGATGAAGCGCGTCTACCCCGAGATCCAACCCGAGTACGACTCGGACAGCAGCACCGAAGACGCCGAGAACCGCATCGGCAACGTGCCGCTCGAGTGGTACGACGACATGCCCCACATCGGCTACGACATCAACGGCCGCAAGGTCATGAAGCCCGCCACCAAGGACGAGCTCGACAGGTTCCTCGACACCGTCGACGGCGACGGCGAGGCTTGGTTCTCGGCACGCGACAACTCCACCGGCAAGGACGTCCGCCTCACCGACGAGGAGCTCGCCATCATCCGCAAGCTCCAGAATGCCGAGATCCCCGACGATGCATACGACCCATACGAGGACTATGTCGACTGGTTCACTGGCGAGGACAAGGTGATGCAGACCGCACTCACTGGCCGTCCCGAGCCCAAGTCGCGATTCGTGCCGAGTAAGTGGGAGCACAAGAAGGTCATGAAGATCGTGCGCGCCATCCGCGACGGTCGCATTGTGCCAGGCGCCAAGGCCCAGAAGGACACTAAGCCCAAGTTCTACAACATCTGGGCCGACGCCGACGAGAACGATACGCGCAGCCCGTGGGCCGTCATGGCGGCCCCCAAGCTCGCGCTGCCTGGCCACGCCGAGTCGTACAACCCGCCCGAGGAGTACCTGTTCAACGAGCAGGAGCGCAAGGACTGGCTCGACGCCGATGCCGAGGACCGCAAGCAGAACTACCTGCCCGACAAGCATGGCTCGCTCCGCCACGTGCCTGCGTATCAGAACTTTGTGCAGGAGCGCTTCGAGCGCTGCCTCGACCTGTATCTGGCACCGCGCATGATGCGCAAGAAGCTCGACATCCACAACCCGGAGAACCTGCTGCCCAAGCTGCCTTCGCCCAAGGAGCTCAGGCCGTTCCCCACCAACGTCAGCGTCGTGTACTCGCATCCGGACGGCAGCAGGGTGCGATGTCTCTCGGTCGACCCTACGGGCAACTGGCTCGTCACCGGTGGCGACGATGGACGCGCGAGGCTGTGGGACGTGGCGATTGGCAGATGCACCGCAACCTGGGATGCATGCGAGGGGATGCCCAAGGCAGAGCGCTCGGCTGTGCACTCGGTCGCGTGGTGCCCCACCAAGAACTACTCGCTCTTTGCCGTGGTAGTCAACGGCCGCGTGGTTATCATTGCTCCGCCGCAGACGCAGAACTATGCCCAGACGCAGTCGGGCCCTGCTTCTTCCAAGGCCGCCTCTTCGTCGGGCGCGACGGCAACATCGACTGCGTCGTTCCTGTACGCTACCGCAGCGGCGGCTACGTCGATGCCGAGTAAGCCCGATGCGCGTGCGCCCGTCGCATGGACAAGGCCGGCCGAAAGCGAGCGTCGTTCGGGTGTGGCCATGTATCTCAACATCACGGCGACGAGCGCGAGCAACCTCAAGACGGTGGTGTGGCATGCCAAGGGCGACTACTTTGCCACCGTGTGTCCCGATGCAGCGGCGGGTGCGGCAGGCATGCTGATCCACCAGCTGTCCAAGCACCGCTCCCAGTCGCCCTTCCGCAAGGCGAGCAAGGGCTCGAGCGTGCAGAAGATCGTCTTCCACCCGAACAAGCCGTGGGTGTTTGTGGCAACGCAGCGCTACGTGCGCGTGTACGACCTCATGGCCCAGTCGCTCGTCAAGACGCTCCAGACGGGTTTCAAGTGGATCTCGTCGCTCGACGTGCATCCGTCGGGAGACCACGTCATGGTGGGATCGTACGACAAGAAGCTCGCCTGGTTCGACCTCGATCTGTCCGCACGTCCGTACAAGGTGCTCAAGTACCACGCCAAGGCCATCCGTGCCGTCCACTTCAGCACGGCGTGGAACCTGGTCGCCGACGCCAGCGACGATGGCACCTTGCAGCTCTTCTACGCCAAAGTTCATGCCGACTATGGCGAGAACCTCACCCTGGTCCCGCTCAAGGTGCTGCGCAGCCACGAGGTCAAGAATGGCCTCGGCGTGCTCGATGTCAAGTGGCACCCCACCCAGCCCTGGTGCTTCTCGGCAGGCGCAGACGGAAACGCGCTTCTCTGGACCACATGAGAAACCTGGAACAGTGTATCACCTTTCGCAATGCATACTTGTATTCCCATCTTTCTTCGTTTGTGACTGTGCGGGCTTGAATCGAGGACGAAATCGAGTCGACGAGATCTGGATCATTTATCCTTCTTGCTGTCAGTAGTGGCGTCTGCTCCGGGGAGCGAGGTCGCGGCGGCAGCGGCTTCCGACTCGGAGACATCGTCCCTTTCTTTGTCGGTGTCGGCGCCTGTTCCGGCAGAGACGGCTTGCTCGGCAGACTTGATGAGTTCCATCTCGCGGCGCAGCTCGAGCAGGTCCTTTTCGAAGCGTCGACCAAACACCTCGACGTAGTACGATGCTCCGTTCCACACGCTCACCACAAAGATGACCGCA